AATCAGAATCTAGCTTAAATCAAGAACGAATCCTCTTAATTTAAGCGGATTTCCCTTTGATTTAAGCTTAAATCTGATTGAATCAATAGTATTTTTCTTGTCAATGTTTTCAAGAGTCTGGACCCTAGATCCAATGTGTTTTTTTTCTAGTGTACGTTCAATATTAACCGCGAGGTATCGCCCTTTAAAAATTCGAGTTTTTGACGTCACCCACCGCGGTAGTGACACCCTTGGTTTCTTCCACCATACTTTCATCTGGCCACATATCTCCATCGCGGTCCTTCAGAATAAAATATGACAGGAAGTCCACAACGTCGCAAACGGATATGTGGTTTTGTCACATTCCAGAGTTACGATCGATGAGGTTCAGATCGGGAGATTTTACATACCTGGGTGACTTTCGACGAACTGAGGAAATGAGGGAAGAGTAACGTGGATGTAGTGGCGAGGCGTGAATGATCGATTATTATCGATATTTCCCCCATTTGAAGCTATGGTAAAGAATCGATTATTAAGATGTTCTTTGCGAATACCCTGTTAATCGATCTTCTTCCATGGGCTTAAATGGCAGATCAATCGATAAACCGTACAGCGTGCTACACCACTGCTTAAAGAAATCCATAATATGATTGCTTACAACATCGATTGCTAAAATGCGAAACCAAGTATCTCCACTGCAAAATGTCTGCTTCTATTTATTCTTTTCAATGAGTCACAAGCCAACTGTATACATTGAACATTTTACAGAATAATCTGCTAACAGAGGAGAAAAATGAAGAAATTTTCCGGAAAAAATTACGTTGAGTAGTTTTCCACGGAAAAAATAAAGTATGACAGGAAGCTTGCAACGTCGCAAACATTGATACGTGGTTTTGCACTTTAGCCATCGATATGTGTCTCTGGAGCAACTAATCGGATTTTATTTTGCAATAAGGAGCCTTTATCTCTGGCCCTTCCATAAAAGCACCTTCCTGCATAGGGAAACCAATGGCATAAATGCTGTTTCAAAATGAGCCAGAAATGGTGGTTCTTCATTACAAAATGTGGTCCAAGTGGCATTCTGCCACCGAAAGCAAACCATAGGTTGTGCTGCGTCTCGTGCTTGGCATCAGGTAGAGCGCCTTCAATCTCGCCTTATGCAATCCTGACAACCCTCGAGCACGAATAGTCGCATCCAAGCGCCGTTGCTTCGCGCCTGTGTTACATACAAAGAACAAAACTTCGTCGAAATCAAGGAAGGAGATGAATTACGTTGACTAGTTTTAATACCTAGCAGCGTTTGAAATCCCTTCGAGTATTTGGAGTTTTTAAAAGCGGGCCTCTTCGGGATTTTGGCTCCAAAAATACGCAATAAATCATCACGTAATGTGCTCACCCGGTAATTTTAGGTTAATAAAATATAGAACATTAGACAATAAGTTGGAATTTTTTAGCCAACGTGTGTTGAAAATCCAGAAAACTGGAAATCTCAATACTGGACGAGTTAACAAATTACTAGTGTTGCACCAAACAACGTATCTCTCTGAGGGAAAATTGTGCTCATATGATCTTTTAACCTCTGTATTGAGATTTCCAGTTTTCTGGATTTTCAACGCACGTTGGCTTTAAAATTCAAACTTACTGCCTTACGACTCGTCTTTCGCAATCGGTTTGTGAAAAAAAATGAGGTTTCGTGGCCCTTTTGGGCATAAAACTACGTTTTATAATGCTTGGTCCCCGACTATATCCAGTGTTCCCGGGTGCTCCGGGTGCGAGATCCGTACGCTCTACCGCTCTCCGTGCTGTGATTGGCTGAGCGTCATTCTGTGACGTCACGCGTACGGATAATTTAAGATAGGGAAGCGTTTTTCCCATAAGGTTTTTGTCCGTACGCGGTCCGTGTCGGTATAGGGAATGTCCACGCGGCACGGAAAAATCCGTACGCCTGGCATCACTGACTATATCTTGCAATCCGTCATGGGTCGTGCGATATGACAACCGGGACCGAGACCGTATTTTGAACGGTGAGCGCCTTTTGTTCGGGGTAATCGCGCCGAGCTGGCAGAGGAAATGGGGAGAAGGCAACCGGAAATAGGGAAATCGGGGCCGCATCAACAGTTTGCCCACGGCGCCTTCACCTATTGGTAGATTCAAGGAACCCCCCTCGTCCCTCCCTCTCACTCATCCCGGGTTTTTCTTTTGAGCTCGGGACTGGACGGGAGGGTTTCAACAGGAGCATCTCGGGCACTCTCCCATTCATCACCGGTTTTTAAAAACCGATACGTATGAATGAAATTACTAACAATTTAATCTGAGGAAAGATGCAAAATAGGGGGAATTTAAGACCTGTGGAAAGCAAAGGGTGAAAGATATCTTGATTTCATTTTTCCCTGAGCTGGAAATTTTCTCGAGGTCTCGTCCTTAAGGTCTTAATTTTGCGATAACTGCAATTAATAGCTTAAATTTTCCTTGTTATCCTCTTCCTTGTTTACTTTTTCATTAATTGAAGGTTAAAAATAAAGTTGATCATCTCGCACTGCTTCGGTTTGTTAAAAGTCCCCTTTTTCGCAGTCTTTCGACGAGTGTAGTTGTTATTTACTCAAGTTGTTTTTATCAAGTTGTTGACATTTAGGCATTCTGATTTAATTTCCATATATCAGCTCAACAATTTCACGGGGAACAGGACTTCAGTGACAAAAAATACTGAGATTATCTGCGAAACAAAATTCTACCGTTTATGCAGCATAATAAAGCAATAATAAAGCAATGGTTCTCCCAAAATATCGACGCAGTGTAAGTCGGCAATCACATAACTCGGTTTGCGACGTCGCACACTTCCTGTCGTACTTAATTTTTTAGACGGAAAACTACTCAACGACATACATACATATCAAGCCGCTAACTCAGCGCACTAGAGCGCTCTGCGACTCCAAATCGCCATCGGAATCGATCCTCCCACAAATCATCGGGCAGATTACACCGTCTAATCTCCCCCTCCACTCCCTCCCGCCAACCTTTTACTGGACGTCCACGCCGCCTTCTTCCGGGAGGAACCCAATCAAAAACCTTTCTGGCCAACCAACTATCTGCCATTCTCCGCACGTGTCCATACCAAACCAGCTGCCTGGTTTTGATATCGTGCACAATATCTTTCTCTCTCAGATTCTCTGATCCCAGAGAACCCCGTTTAACATCGCGATGGCTTTTCTTCCTAACGACAATTCTTTAAAACTACCGTGATTTTTCTTCTCTGTGCGAAGATAATTCTGCAAAATGATGTCAATTTGTTCTCCTATAAAAAAATAACAAAGAGGCGGAGATTTTCAGACACCGCAAACGAGTTATGTGATTGCCGACTACACCGTCGATATGTTTTTCCATGTCACCTACCACACAAAAACATTTCATACACTTTTATATCGTTAACACTACACCATTGTGTTCCATCTCAAAGTTTATTTCCATGCGAGGCAATCTAATCGAGTTCTGAAGAGAAGTAGGACGAGCGTGAAGCTGCATCAACTCAACCGATCACCATCAAAAGAGCGCGTCGCTCTTACGATGTGTTTTGAAATTCATATAGTGCTTGAAAAGGAAAGTTCCTGGAATCCACGCGGCAATCACACGTGGAGAATTGACGAATCTCGATCGATGGTCGGGTGTTCCTTGCGATGAATCGATTGATCTGCTATTTAAACTTGTAGAAAGAGATTGATCATCAGGATGCATCTCATCAATCGATTCTTCGCCATAGCTTCAAATGAGAAAATATGGATGGGCAATGATTTCTTTAGTCGGCTATAAGAACTCATATGGTATTTTAAAACGCAGCTCCTATCGCCAATTTTTACCAGGGTCGACCGGAGGGGACACTGTTGACATCCCTTCCGTTTTGAATTTTATGAGAGAGATGAAAAGTCGTCGTTCCCCGCGCTAAGGAACGTAACTCCACTCCCAGGTTGCAAAATTGACTGAAGCAATTTTATTTTTTTACAAGAATGTACCTACGCAATGGACCACTGGACGAGGTACAAAATTAAGCATTCTGATACATGTTACTTGACCAAAATTTCACGTAAAACACAATTCGCGCAACGGAAATGTCTGAAATTAACTTCTAACCAAGATATTAAATGTTTCTTGACGCGTGAATTCAAACCTGCCGCTCATGAAAACTCAATGGTCTGCGTGAGTCAAATCGCACATTAAACGTTACCGTGGCAGTCTCTGGAATACGAAAATATATAAGCCTCAACCATGACGCTTTGGCTCAGCTATAGCAAATTGTTTACACTTTGAACGATAAAGAATGGGAAAGGAACAGCGCTCGGATTGAGAAGCCTGCCGAAACCGTTGTAAGGCGCGATATGACTCACGTAGAGTATGGAGTTTCTTGTGACCGGGAAATTCAAATTTCCTATAACCAATATAAAATTAAAACGTCAATACCTTACTTAGGAGTTGATTTCGGTAATTTTTGATGCAAGAATCGTGTTCTACATGAAATTCTGGTTAGAAGACATATGTACTACATTTAGCAATAAAGAACTACTATTTTTGGCCCATTTTAGAAACAGCATACATGCCATTGGTTTCCCTGTGCAGATATGTGCTTTTATGCGAGAGCCAAAGATAGTGGTTCCTCATTGCAAAATGTAATCCATATATCAAAGTGCTCAAACTCGTACCTTGTCTAAAGTCCATTTTTGGCCAAAACTTTGGAGTTTTTGAAGGAGATCAAAAGGAGAATCGGTGAAATTCTCAGTTGCCAATGCTCGAATACCTCCTGGTAAAAATGCAATTTATGGGGGAAATTTGGCAACGTTGAAATGTGGGTTTGTTCTTTGGCGAGGGGAACGACGGAGTGTGGAAAAGATGTGAATCGGTTCGTGAAAACCTCACAAGTTCATCATCTGATGAGCCCCAGAATATGAGCAGTCTGGTGGGCCTTGGGGATCATTAGGAATGAACTTGCTGTGTTTCGAAATAGACAGATTTATGTGCGGTCCTCGTGGGCTTACCTGAATTGGTTATGATACTGACGGATTTCCATCGGATTGTACTTATGGCGTTCACGATAGCACTCATGATAACCCGCTTTGGCGGGAGGATGCTTACGAGATTCGGCGAATCGCTCGACATCTGNTGTTGTTATAAACTGCTTTCCGGATTTCAAAGGATTCTAGGACTTTTAGTTTTTTCTTATCGTTAGATTTATGCAAAATATCCATGTTGCTTTCGATGTTGTGGATTTTATGCTTATTAGTAATTAAGTGGTGGTAGACATTAGAATCCTGATTTTTGCAGTGCTCTGAGTAACGAGTAACTCAATATATATTGGAAAAACAGAGCGGAACTTCAGGCAACGTTACTCAGAGCACTGCAAAAATCAGGATTCTAATGTCTACCACCACTTAATTACTAATAAGCATAAAATCCACAACATCGAAAGCAACATGGATATTTTGCATAAATCTAACGATAAGAAAAAACTAAAAGTCCTAGAATCCTTTGAAATCCGGAAAGCAGTTTATAACAACAGTAACTTATTTAATGCCAAAGTAGATTTGAATCTTACCGCCACTCCAATTATTGATGCTTGTTGCTTCATTAGTGATTTAAGCTGAATGTTGGGTTTCTTAGTTTCACTTAACCTGCAAATTCTTTATTTATTTATCTAATTGCCACCTGTATGCTATAATGTAGTTAGAACCCGTAATTTTTAATTCTCATCAGCATGTCCTTAGATTATGCAAGTACTTGTACTTGCTTGTAGTCTGTGATCCTTATGTATACCACTGAAGATGGCCCTATTGGCTGAAATGCATTTGGGTAAATAAAAAATGTAATTTATGCATCTACTTGGCGTACCTTACTCTCTCCGAATCAAGTCTCATAGATGCAATATGCGCTCCTTCAAATCCTAAAGGAACAGTGCTCGGATTGAGAAGCCAGCCAAAACCGTTGTAAGGCGCAATATGACTCACGTAGAGTATGGAGTTTCTTGTAACCGGGAAATTCAAATTTCCTGTAACCAATGTAAAATTAAAACGTCAATGCCTTACTTAGAGGTTGATTTCGGTAATTTTTGATGCAAGAATCGTGTTCGACATGAAATTCTGGTTAAAAGACATATATCGGAGAGTTTAAACTCGAACCTTGTCTAAAGTCCATTTTTGTGCAAAAATGTTGAGTTTTCGAAGGGGTCAGAATGAGAATCAGTGAAACTCTCCGTTGCCAATGCTCAATTACCTCCTGATAAAAATGCAATTTGCGGGGAAAATTTGGCGACGTTGAAATGTGGGTTCGTCCTCTCGCGAGGGAAACGACGGGGTGTGGAAAAGATATGAATCGGTTCGTGAAAACCTCACGAGTTCATCATCTGATGAACCCCAGAATATAAGCAGTCTGGGGGGCCTTGAGGATCATTAGGAATGAACTTGTTGTGTTTCGAAATAGACAGATTTATGTGTGGTCCTTGTGGGCTTACCTGAATTGGTTATGATACTGACGGATTTCCATCGGATTGTACTTATGGCGTTCACGATAGCACTCATGATAACCCGCTTTGGCGGGAGGATGCTTACGAGATTCGGCGAATCGCTCGACATCTGGAACAAAAATCAAACACGTCACTTAAAATGTGGATAGAAAAATTTTACTTTGCTTTTCTCTATTTTTTTCCCTAAAAATATATTTTTCTCGAATTTTTCACAACAGACACAAGACGACAGTTCCAACGTTAAGACGTTGGAAAGCGTTCACCGTAGTACCTCGTCAATATGTAAAAGTGGTTTTGCGCGGACGGAAGAGAGCGCTGCAAGACGCTGTTGAACTAAACGTGGAGCGTGACCTATAGGAAACATACATCTATATAAGACACGGCTTATCTTCATAGAGTAGAATATAGGGGTCATTAATGAAGGGGTACTTTGTACCCAAATATTTTTTTTAGATCTTCGACGACCAAAAATTTGGACGATCCTTGAGAGAGTCATTAAATAGAAGAACGTTGCAGAATTTTAAAACGTAAAGCTATTAATTTTTCAAAGACAAGCCTACAGGCATTACATAGAGTGGACAAAATAGGAGAAAAAAGGTAGAAATGGTACGTAAAAAAATTTAGAAAATAGGTATTGCTTCCCGCCACGGAAAATGGCGCCGATTCCCATGGAGCAGTGCGGGCCTTTACCAATGGATCCATTAGTAACATACTCGATGCAAAACGACGGGAAAGAGCGCACACTACTAACGTGGTGAACGCTCAAAATAGTCAAGAGAGAATGATGGATAGTACGTTTCATTTTTTACCATCATACCCACGCTGCCGTGCTAGGAAGAACGGCGTGAAAACCATCAGACGTTGCCAAATTTCCTCCGATAAAATACTTATCTTGAAGTAGTCAGATATTTTAGATGAAAATGAGATCAACATTGTCTGAAAAATTGGAGGAAAAATTTTTAGAATATTTCCGATAAATTCCAATTTTATTGAAGGAAATGTGACATCATTTGAAGGCTCATACAGGGTTCTTCCTTAGCACGGAAGTACTGTGCCTTAAAAATTAAAATGAATCGACTCAATGGGCCTGTTGCAAACTTTTGCTAGAGCAAAACTAAGAGTTGTTTCCTGCAGATAATGCCTCAAAAATCACGATGAGCGCATCGGCAAAGTCTGAAATGCACTCATAACTTCACAATCTGCGTAAGAAATTTGCGTTCTTTTGAGCTTCCCGCTTCAAAAACGATACTACGGCACAGGTGAACATTTGGGTAGAGGAGTCGTTCCATCGTCGGCAATATTCATCATGGCCGACGACAATTCGCCAAAACACTTGTGATGGGACGAGATAACACCTGAACAGGATTAAACCATATAACAATCGGCGTGTTTACGTTCATATTTTCCTCGCCCGCCTTAATTGACCTTGAACTCTCCTCGAATTACGCGAGGAACTGCGCAAGCGTCGGCCATGATGAATATTGCCGACGATGGAGCGACTCCTCTAACAAAATGTTCACCTGTGCAGTAGTATCGTTTTTGAAGCGGGAAGCTCAAAATAACGCAAATTTTTTACGCAGATTGTGAATTTATGAGTGCATTTCAGACTTTGCCGATGCGCTCATCGTGATTTTTGAGGCATTATCTATAGGAAACAACTCTTCATTATGCTCTAGCAAAAGTTTGCAACAGGCCCATTGTTCTTTAAACTAAGGAGCTTCAAAATAGCAGTATTCTTCACTGGTAAAAAAGTAAACTTTACATTGCAAGGTTTGGTTCAAGCCACATTTGAAAAAAATCCGCGAGTTTCTCTAAAAAGGGCCCTTTTATGGACAGGCGTCTTGAGCATGAGGGTGATTTCACGATAATAGGAATAGTCGTGTCGCCGTGGGTTGTGAACGACATAGGGCAGAACGATTGAAAACCAAATTGATTAATCAATAGGAATGATGTCCCTGAACCTATCCATGCTAAAAAATATGATGAATTATTATTATATTTAATAATATGAGACTTTAAAGGCCAAAAATGTCCGGTCGGTTACGCGTCGCCAACCCCGATTTTGAAGCAAAAGAGCAATTTGCGGTAACAAATCAGTACTGATCATGAACTCTTTGGCAATATTTGCTGAATAGAGACTCTAGTGTTCAAGAAAATTGCCAGTTTGAACTGAAATGTTTGTTATTGAGCGAGAAAAGTCATAAGAAAGAGGTGTCGCCACATTTGGCGACAAATTTTTGCAGTTGTATTAAATGCAGTGTTTATCTCGTCAGATGGAGTCAGGAGTTTCAAAACTGCCATCAAATTGTTCGCTGAAGTCTTCTTGACAAAACAATTACTGATAAGTCAGTTTTTTTACAATGAAAACTTTAATCATTATGAAAACCAGTGATTTTTACGTGCGTAGCACTAATTCCTCACTACGCAAAAACCTCAATTTAATAGTATTAAACTAAAAGGAAGTCTCCAAAGTTTAGAAAACTTTTAAGGCAGCATTAATTCCACCTCATAACTCAAGAATTGCCAAGTTTCATCTTTTGTATCATCTTTAATCTCACATTTTTGAGTGTCGGTTACGCTGTGTCTGTTACGTAACCGACACAATTTGGCAGGGCCGCCATGTTTGCGTGGACCTCCAGCAGTCCCGCGGGAAGCGCTGATACCTGATTCAATGGCTTGTTTATCAATCACTTTAACTTTGCACTGAATCAAAATAGAGCGTGCCAAAGCTGGAAAAAGGAAGTTTAATACCTTTAAAATGAGGTAATGAAATCCTGTTAAAATTGGTGCACTTTTATTTCTAAGGTATTTCACATTTTAACTATTCCTGTTATCGTAAAATCACCCATGAGCCGACCGCAGAATTTGGCGGGAACTGTCAGCCAATCAGAGAAGTCTTGAGTAAAAGAAGAGGGGGAAGGGGGGAAGGCCACGCGCCGCATGATTCAAATTACGGCTTTTCCTTTCTCTTTGACTCTGACGGGGATTCAAATGGGAGCCAGAATTTGAAAAGGAGATAGTTACTGGGTTATCGCAAGGGATGAGATTTCCGGTCATTACTCAACAGGGTGCAGCTGCGCGGCGGTCGGCTGACCCATTTCACCTCCCGATTAACCCTTGACATTCTTCGCAAAGATAATCGCGGCCCACCGTCGCGATGCGTGTTGCGTCGCCGCTCTCTGCAGGCGCTGTGTGCGAGATACCTTCGATACCCTCACAAAGTGAGAATATTTCCATGTCGATGTCACCCTCTAATTGAATCGCCTAGGGGAAAAACCGCTCATATCCACAGTTCCAGTCTTTATACTATGACGCTTTTCACTTTTATCCCTACCTTGATCGATTTCAGCGGCATTTGAGTGTCGCAGAAGACCCTAGTGCGCTATAGAAGCAATTACTTTGCACACAATACTTCTATGCTTAACCCTTTGTTGCATGAACTAATCCAAAATACTTTATTCTCTGCTTTCACTGCACCTAGAGTCCCTTTATACTGAGAGTCAAGACAACACCCTCTCATGGAGTCACAAACGGGAATAAAGATTACACAATTTGAACGTTTTTCGTAATCTTTGATTGGCCCATTCTCAAATTCCTTTCTCTGTTCCTTCTCTCATTCCGTTTGTTCAACCCGTAGTTCCTCGGTCTATTCCAGATTATAATCTTTGCAATTGGTGAAAATGTAATCTTTATTCCCGTTTGTGACACTGTGGAGGCCTAAAATACGGTAACCAATCAGAAATGGATTCACATTGTCTTAACTCTCAGTATAAAGGGACTCTAACTGCACCCTGTACGTCCGATTCAAGGTGAAAAGCGTCCACTGTGCGGCATTCAAAACAGGCGTCGGCGCGTACATGTCGGCGGCCGGGCGACGGCGGGAACGGGACTTGATAATGCGGGCTCGTTTGGCCAATGACGGGGCGTTGAAAAGATTCCCGAAACAATCACACAAGTAGGATAAAGTGATTAAAAGTTCGGGCCGCGCTCCTTCCCCCCCCCCCCCCCCCCCNAGCGGGAAACTCGTGCTCCCGTCCTCAGGAAAAACGCCGTATGAGCCTACCCACGTTGCCAAATTTCCATAGATAAAACACGAATTCGCTAGGGAAAACGTGAATGTTTTTCCTTCCCCGATTTGATCGAACCCAATGCTACGATCGGGGATGAAGTGGGTTACATTTAAATTGATTTAATGGAATAACTAAATAATTCAAGTTTTAAAAAAGAATTTAGAAGTGAGTTGAAATCAAGTTATGTAGCTAAATTTGATATAAGCTGTGTACAAATTGCCCGTCATTCTTACATAAATTAAGAAAAGTCGTAACAAAGTAAGATCACTGGAAAGTGATATTAGATAAAAGTTATTAACTTGAGTTTTAAACAGTAACCTTTGAAGTTAAATAAATTAATTAATTGTAGGATTATGCCCATATCACATACGATAAAAGTAGAGTCTTTAAATAATAGGCTTATCGATGGCATTCTTGACTTTAGTCTCCCAAAATCGTCAGCCCGACGGCGGAAGTAATCGATTGAGGAAAACGAAGGTTTCTTGGAGTAACAGTGGAGAAACAAGGGGGAAAAACGGAAAACAAGGCTAAAAAAGACAATAAAAACCGAGACGTTTCGACTCAAAACTGAGTCATTTTCAGTCGGAAATACAATAGAAACTTTAAAAAACGATGAAAACCTGAGCCCTACATGGTGGTGGCCAGGATCTGGCTCAGTTTTGAATTGAAACGTCTCGATTTTTATTAATTCTGAGTTTCAGCCTTGTTTCCCGTTTTCCCCCTTGTTTTGTCTCGGGCTGCTCTTAAAAAGTTGTATCAATTTCTAGAAGTAACCGATGTGTCCGGGACACATCATAGATTGGGTCCTGAAATTTTCGAGGGGCTTAGTACAGAAATGGCTGAGAAAGTAAAGAATTAGTGCCGCTTTAAGAGCTCTACTTTGATCGTGTGATACGGGCTTCAGGGCTCGATCAAATTAATTGACAAATGAATCGAAAAACAGATTCGAATAAAATCGAAGAATAAATTTATCAGAATTCACATCAAAATTTTGAACACTTTTATTTAGCATTGAAAGTAAAAACGAAAAGCAAGACGC